TTGTTGTTTTCTTTTTATTCGAAGCGTCTTCTGACGTTTCTCTTATCTTACTTCAATTCACTTTGACAGTTTGACGTCTTTATTTACGTCGCCGTTGCGACGGGTTTAACGTAAGACCTGTCGTACGCAAGTAGGATGCGGAGTAGCGTTAATCATACAGATTTATATTATCTGCCTGTACATTGCACTTGGTGGTCAAATTTAACGTTTACGTATAGCTATACATTTATTTTGTCTGGATACGCGGCTCTTTGCCTTTTATGAAAATTAATGAGTTCCTTTCATTTTATATATCCGGATTTCCTGGCGAATGCCAAGAGAAGTAGAATCGAAATTACACTTGGCTCGACGTATCGACTCTCTGTCGACCGGAAGTCCCTAAGGAAATATGTGCAATGATGACTGTATTCAGATATTTTTAGATGAGCTTGCGGGTGAGCATAAATGTGCAATTGCGTTTCAAAGAAATGTTTTTTTAAAATCAAATTTTACACGAAATACAGTGGAAACTGTTTGTCCGTAATTCGTAACAAACCAACGTACCGTGCTGACGTGAAAATGTTCCTTCGACAATTTTTCGTAATATACGTATATATCGACAGACAATTCCTATTGGTCTATCGAAACGCCGACGCTTCATTTATTATTTGTTTTCTTTTAATTTTTTTACTATAAAATATCTACAACGCTCGCTGCGCTTTGACGCATTGGGAGTCATTCCCTTTGAATTGGATTTATACGAGATCTGTGTACATCGCACGGCTCGTTCAATCTGCTCTAACAAAATCGTATATCCACGTTGAGATTCGAATAGCTACTATTTCCATGCAATACTCACGCGAATACATCCCTTCAGCACAGACACTTCACATCCATCGAAATAATACAGAGTATCGAGGCGCTGCACCTGGAGCACAGGCGAAGGTAAATATATAAACACACAGAGCGACTAGCCACTTCTTCCCTCAGGTTCTGTTTGCAATTTTCACTAAAATTCGCTATATATCGGAAAAGCCGCCATCACGGATCCCCTCTGATCCAGTAACCGAGAGACTTACGTAGCACAGCCCTTACGCGGATGAGTAAGGGTAGGGTGGAAAATAACCCATCTCCTCCCCGCCTACATACTGGCCTTATAGTTACTCCAGTTTATTTATCAAGGACCAACAAAGCCTGTATTCTTCGTATATGAAAAACGTTTAATCACTGTCGTGAACGATCTCTGACGGCGTGTCCATTTTTTGTATCCCCTTCCCTCCACTCACTTTTCTATCAAATTCCCCAGCTACACCCTCCCCCGTCATTCTCGTTCTGTCGTCGCCGGCTGCGTGGACGAGAGGATGCAAGGAGTTTGAGTGCCTAGTCGCCGCGCGAAAGAGAGAGAGAGAGAAAGAGAGAGAAATAATCTCCACGCTCTCCTCGTCCGCTTGAGGATTTATGATTTCTATATGGGCGACACGGCATATGTGGCCATCATTTCGAGCACGTACATAGAAGCCGATGGGTCTTACGTGCTACTGCCGCTGCAACGTGTACGCACGGTGCGTCACTGTAGCTCAAAGTTATTTCATTGTCTTTGCATTGGGAATGGCTTTAAGGACGTCAAACAGATTTTCTATATCGAGCTACGATACCCGTATGCCGTGTGCTGACAGCCGCCGTGTCTCGTATACGATTTTTATCGACATTTATATATCCACGTAGTGGAGATAAATATGCAAAATAAAACGTAATGCTGTATCATCTCAGAAGTTATGGCCGATAGAAACCGCTGCTGCTGTGTCGTAGGCAATTTTGAGGAAGAATGTCTTTTCCGCTGGATGGATTGTTGTGTTGTTTGACGCGCTATGCGTCCGTCTCTCTCTTACTCGCGCGAGTCACCGTAAGTCCGTCTCCCTTGCACTCGCAGCAGTCATAGGAATTACGAATATTCGTGACCCGCAGATCTTCTTCGATATCGTCTTTTGCATCTCACTTTAACACTCGGGTAATTCTATATATGTATAATATAGTGTATAGTATAGTATCGTGTTGTAACACTGAGGTGAAAATAAAGCACTTACATATATAGTATAGTATTGTATACTGAACTGCATGGATTATACTATGCATTATAAATGGCTAAATACTGTACACGTATCACATAATGCAATCGTCACGCAAAGTAGAGGATGTTTTATGTAATATTAATAATAGCGAGGATGACAATAATAATAATCCGAACAATACCGAATGCTATGTCGGACTTGTTTGCACGTTCAAAATTACATTTAAGTGCGCAGATGGGATTTCCGTTTTTTTTTTGTATTGAACATTTGCGGAAATATCGATTATGCTTTTTTTATCGATCTATGACAATTATGTACTATTATGTCACTTCGTGATATTCCGTTATTAATATTTGGTTCATGTCGAAAGCGTCGTTTAACGTGACACGTCGCGTTGGTCATTTTTCATTTGAAATCCGATCGCGTATCCGATAACCTAATTCTGTACGAAATGTGATTTTGAAATTGCCGGGGTAATGTATTGAAAAAAAAAAGTAATATTTAAAATCAATCAAATCAGTGAATTATCCGGTAAAGAAGTTGCGGGGTTTATTTTGACTTTTGTGGTGCTTCCATTGTTATGACTAGTTTTTATACGAGTAGCGTGTCTAACGTTTATTTTGTCTCTGACCGTATTGCATACCTAGTGTGCTATGTAGTTCGTAGAAAAATGAAGAGAGGGCGCTCATCGACCCTGACACAAGTCGGCGATCAGATAACGAGTCCAGTTTCTTGTTGTATTTAATTCGTGTTACATCTTTTCCTGGCTCTGCGTCTAAAACGAGGCGTCGGCCATTGCGCAAGGGAAGGTATCGCGCAACGTAACGCAAGGCGTTGTAAGGCATGGCTGTCTGTAACGCAACGCGCGACAGCAATGGCGGTTGCTTATCATGGCACATCGGTAATCCAGGATCGTTCGGCGTCGCCGACGTGTGCCGTTTCCAACGCGGGCGAGAACGCGAAAGTGAAAGTACTGACTGATCGGACTGCAAATGATTCTCCTTTCTGTCCTGGATGGAGCGTCGGACCCAAAGTATATACCTCATATCGTTTCGATTTATCGATGGCCTATTGATTTCTACATAAATCAGCTTCTCCGTGGGTTATTTTCGTCGAGAGCGTCTGGATTGGTTGTACCTTTTTTTTTCTTACGTTATTTATTTATTCCTTTTTTTTTTTGCGTAGCTACTTAGGTCGCGGTATATATCCATTTCTCTGGCTCGTTCATTTTTACGATAGCAAAGATGATCGACGCTTTGAAGGAAATTGTTCAGACATCGTAACTTTATGTCTGGACTTTATGTTTTTTTTTCTCCGTTTGCCTTCCTCGTTATCTTTCACTTCCATGAACTTTTATATTAATTCACCATCTTAATTTTTTCCCCTTTTTTGTGTCTCCCTCATTTCTTCACTGTGGCACGTGCATGCTTACTCGATCGTTCTTTCGATTTTTATAGTAATGCAATTTTTTCCCATCGAATTGAGCTTCCTTGTCTTCCGTTTTGTTCACTGTACCAAGTTTTATGTACCGTAGCTCTTTCTTTATGTTTGATAACGTTAAACTTTTCGCGAGACCTTTTTTTTTGAGGGATTATATCGGGTTTTTTTTCTTCCCCAAGTAGTTCGTTTTTTTTTTCACGAATCAAACAGATCCTTTCTTATCCACTGTGTCCGATTTCGTTCGATTTACTTTTCGATTATCTGCCCATTTATTAATTTTTCGAGCAAGTGTATAGATGCTAATACGAGAAATCAATTTTCCTCGACGATTAGTGTGGTGAGGACTAGGCGAGGGCTGTGGTCGAAAGGGCTTAAGGAGTTCCTGGATGAAATGAAAAAAAAAAAGGAGGATACAAATGATAATCGAAACGGAAAAAGAGAGAGGAGGGACTGCCTGGTATAATACATTAACCCGAGCGGTTATCACGCTCCTAATCCTGACAGGATCACCAGGACTTCCGATAAGGGTCATACGAGATGGAATAGGAGGTCCTTCTTATTTTTATTACGGACTTTCGAATCAATACCAAATAATCTGGCTTGTCCCGTGAGGAACTTTTAACCATTGACCTTTGACCTCCTTGCCCTTTATCATTTATCCTTTTTCTACCTTAAAGAGATACCATCCTACCCCTAATAGATTACACATCCAATATCATCGAATACAGTCGAGCCTTCCTTTCGGTATTATTATTTTCATTTTTCTCCCTCAATTTCCTTCTTGTTTTGCCATTATAGCCAATCCATTCATGTTTCATTTTTACACTTTCTTCCTTTTTCTCCTCATTCTTATTGATATTACCTTATTTGCATATAAGATCCTTTTCGATTTTTCAGGGCACTCACTCGGCTTCTTGTAGGTCCTCAGGATCTTTATGCAAAAGAGGATGTCGTATTTAGATGCGATAAAGGAAGTTCAGAATCCACCAGTGTTTTCCTGCCAGTTGTAAAGCCACAGGTGGCCGGTCAAAATTCTCTACAGGATATCCCATTCCTGACAAATATATCCATCGTGGAATAAGTATCCTAGCTTGGATGTCCTGGAAAGTGTCTATCCTGGCAAATCCCCAGGATAGATTCTTAACGCTTATACCGGGTGTTCTGCTTTGCATTGGGTATACCAAAACCTTCCAATAAGGATATGCCGAGGCATTGAAACACTGCGGGATCCGCTGTAACAATCGTTGCCATGGGAATGTATAGTAGGTTCGTTTAAAGTTAAAATTTTTTAATTAATATTCCGATTGCTTCCCAGGATGCTTTTAGTTAGGAAAGTCGGTTCGTACAATTTTCATCGCTCATTATATTTGAATTAGCTAGCAGCTTTTTCATAAGCTTAATGACAATTGGTAGTTAGCTAATTGGCAGTTTGTCCTAGGCTGACTTACAGAGGTGGAAGCATTAATGCGGGTAAAAACCTTATCGTTCACGAGTTAGTGGATATGGAGTATATGGAATAACCATGAGAATTGAGAAGCGAGAGCGCCGTCGCAGTTCTATGGCGTCGCTGGCGTATCCAGCCTCGACGTCGGCGTCGCGAGCCGATTTCCTCGACGCAGCCAGAGGAGGAGCTCATCGGGTAGGATAGGTGTAGAGGAACCCAGGGTCCACCGCCGCCGCGACGCTAGTCGCCTCGACGCTCTCGCACGCTGCGTTTGCTGCCACTGCCGACGCCGTCGTCGCCGTCGACTTTCTCTTTTTTCTCTTGTAACTTTATCGCAGCCGTGGGTGTTACCCCGTTTTTTCGTGTTTCGCGTTTCTTTGCAAAAAGCAAAAAGAAGAACGGAAAAACAAAAAGGGAGACAGGAACAACGGAAATTGTATAAAAACAAAATAATAATAATAACAGACTTCCCTATTTTTATGAAAAAAGATTTGTTGGAGAATATTTTCATTTTTTTGGGGGGTACAAAATTTCGCCAAAATATTCTTGCAGTGTGAATTATACAGATTTACGTAAAGTGGTGTTTTACGTAGAAGAATCTCAAAGATATATCGGAAAGGAGGAAGTGTCATTTTCAAAATATAAATTCACATAACGATTGTGGGATCTATCAGAGCTGGAGGATCGTCTCGAGGTCACTGGCATTTAGGATTACTTCAACTGTGCGACTGGGATCTGAATCGATCAAGATCCACAAGAATTTCTGGGAATCCTAGTGACTTTATAGATCATTGATCAAAAGGATCGTTTTATCAGTAATCGAATAAAATCAATTGCTAAAAGTCGCGAGTGCGTCGTTTCCTTAAATTCCTGTGAGACACGTGAAAGGAATATCGCTATGCACTTTTGAGAGGACCTGTATATCTCGACGATCGATATCACTGGATCAGTGCCATTTAGTGGATTGAAGAGGATCTTTGGATCGGTGAGAAAAATATGAAAAATATAACTCAAGGCTATCTACTACAAGCACACGTGCACGTATATTACTGCATACGAGAAAGGAGTTACTAATTTATAACGTCGGGTCCTATGAGCTTTTGAGAATCTAAATAATCTGTCTATACGGTATCGTCCTGTTCGCGTTTCCAATCTCTTGCTGTGTCTCTTCTTTCTCTGACCTTTTTCCTTAATCGCTGTCACACGTCGGTTGACATGACCGAAGTGAAACTTCTTGCTGCGGAGCACAGCACAAAATTAGGTAGATCGATCAGCCGATAGATTCGTCTATTGGATAGTTGCAAATATTTTTTTTCTTGCAAAAAATTGTATTAATCAAAACATCAAAAACTGGTTTTTGCATTAGCATTTCTATTTTGCATATATAGATATTTAGTACTAAGCATGGGAAACATCGTAATATCGTGACTATACTCAAGTTCTTAACAGGGTTACTCACGATAAACGTACTACCTGAAGTTCGCCTATCCATTTGATTTCTATGGTAGAACCATCTTCAGGTGGTTCGTTTCTCGCGAATCTCCCTGTGGATAGCCCATTTGATCGCACTTGCTGGACAGCAGTATCTATCTTCAAATTTATTAATACGAATTCAGTAGGAAAAATCGTTGAATTGAAATTAAAAAATTTTTTCGAATTTGAAACGTGCCAGGATTTAACATCCATTATAACGCGCATCGATATCCATTAAATTCCTTCTTAATTCCTGCCTTATGACCTTTTGAAAATTCCCTTAGTGCGAAACCAGCAAGTAGTGCTTAGTGTGAGGAAACAAAAAAAAAGAGAAAAAAAAGTATATCCTGTTTGATCGAGCACAGATAATTAGTTAAAGTTGTTCAAAGTCTTATCCTGACATCGGTTGGTTCCCGAGGTGCCATCTAATGCATGGATAACCAATGCAAATGAGTCCCCTGAGCTTGACATTGGTTTCAAGACGTTGTACCTTCGTAAAAGTGAAAAACTTTTTTCGTAGCTATACTTAACTCGTGTCCGTATACTCGAAAGCTTTAATCAAAGAGACGATTAAGATATCAATCTCAACCAATCATAATCGTTCGGGGTAACTGATTATGCGTTGCTTGTGTCTATACGTACAATGTTCTTGGAGTGAGCTTTTCTGCGATGAGCTTTTAAGTGGCCGATTAACGCCTCACGCTCCTTCACACTTGGCAGAAAGCTGGCGCTACGCCAGTCGGCCCTGACTTGGTTCCTCTGGGTCTCAATTTCGATCCTTGCTTTTTTTTTCACTTTTTTTTTTCTGCCACTCTCTTTCTCTCTCAAACTCGTACATTTCACTTTGTAAGTTTCTCTCTCGATATTTTCCAACTTTTTTTTTCTCAGCTCTCTTTAAACGGCGCTATGTCGTTCAGAGAAGAACGAAGGCCCAGAGCTACTCGTAGCGCAACTTTCTCTCCTCGGGCCCCGATTAAATTTACTCCACATACGTCCGAGAGAACATGACACAGAGAGAGAGAGAGAGAGAGAGAGAGAGAGAGAGAGAGAGAGAGAGAGAGAGAGAGAGATGGTGGAAGAGAGCTAGTAGCATAAACCGGGCTCAATGCGTATGACCTAAGAGACTCCGCAGATACGTTCACACTGATATACCTATAATATAAAGTACAGTTATTGTCACTCTCTTAAAATTTGTGCATGTATTTTTTGTGATTTAAAAAAAATATATTTATTTTTTATATTTACCTGACTGTCGAAATAAGTCTTTCTCCTTTCCCTTCTATCCCAAATCCCTTGCGAATCGACGCAAGCGAATTCTGTGCGCGATGCAACGCGACGGCGCGTAACAAATCCGTTTCCACGAACGCGACGGTGTTTGTGTCTTCGATCATGAAAATTTTCCAATTATGTATTCTTTTACGCGATATTTTACATTCTTGCTTTTCTCGTGTCTCTTATTGTGTTCAGTAAAAAATCCTGCCAGACTGTATATACAATATACAGTATATACGTCGTTGCTAATCAACATGGAAAATTAGACTGACAAAAAATATGATTTTCTCCCTTTAGATTTTCAGGCTCGCTTGTAATTTAATAAAATTTTTTCTGTTGTTTTTTATTTTTATGCCTCTCTCTCTCTCTCTCTCTCCCCCCCCTCTCTCTCTTTCTCTTAAGATTATTTTTCTAACCCTAATCCGATCACCTAATGCTCAGCAGACCCCGTTAACTTTATGTTGCGCAGGATTCACGTAAAATGGGCTGCTTCGGGAGCAAGGATAAGCTCAGCAAGGAGGACATGGACTTCCTCAAATCTCACACCAGATACGACGAAGCCACCATAAAGGAGTGGTACAAGGGATTTAAGGTGAGTTTACATTTAAATAAGGCGTCCCCAGTGCGCCACGTTATATCCATTTACAATCTGCGTCTAGTCGTATGCGACGTCTCGGACAATATACATACGCGTACACGTGCGCGTGTACCGAGTTAACGAGGATGCCAAAGATTAGAGAGAACTGCCGCATGCGGGTACTAGAAGTGAGAGTTTACATGCGAGCGACTTTTTCCTCTCCTTCTCTTTCTTTTCTCTCCCCTTTTATTATCATCTTTACCCTCTTCCTTTTATATCGCACCGTCCGCTTGCCATTAGTAGCCAGTTGACGCACTTAGCCACCGGTATCGATTCTGCCTGCT